TTCAGCCAGGTCACGATCTTGCAGTCCGTGAGTTCGAGCCCCACATCAGGCTCTGGGCTGATGGCCCAGAGCCTGGAGCCTGCTTCCGATTCTGTGTCTCCCTCTCTCTCTGCCCCTCCCCCGTTCATGCTGTCTCAAAAATAAATAAATGTTAAAAAAAAAAAAAAAGATGTTCTTTTACTTTTTTTAAGTAATTTCTATATCCGACATGGAGCTCAAGCTCACATCCCCATGATAGTCACATGCTCCACTCACTGAGCCAGCTAGGCATCCCTAATATTTTTTTTAAACATGGTTTTCAAATATAGTTGTGTATTAGAAATACCCTAAGAACTTTTTTAAATAATGTTTATTTATTTTTGAGTGAGAGAGAGCATGACCATGGAAGAGGCAGAGAGAGAGAGAGGGAGACAGAGAATCCCAAGTAGGCTCTGCACTGTCAATACAGAGCCTGATGTGGGGCTCTAAATCACTAACTGTGAGCCAAAACCAAGAGTTGGATGCTCAGTTGACTGAGCCACCAAGGTGCCCTGAATTTTTTTCTTGATAAGTTCAAATATTGTATCAGTTTCATCTTCTTTAAGAAATCTCTCCTAAAGCCATCTGCTCTGCTTCAATCTGGACTTTTTGCCCTCTCTAACCAGGGTACACTTGTCATCCTGGATATTGTCTTTGCCTATCTCCTGTGTTGAATGTTCTGTTCAGAAGGTTTAGGCAAAGCCCAAGGGTTCTAGGGAGAGGGGAGGAGAGGGGTCATGGTTTTTCTGGGTTTTGCTTGATCTCTCTAGTTCCTTACCCTTAACTCTGCCTTGTGTTCTCCAGACCAGAGACCCTCAATCATATTCTCTCTAGAAAATAAACCTTTAGTTTTATGCTACAGTACAGAAGAGGCAGTTAATCATGCTGAACAGACAAGTTTAACAACATTCCTTGATCAGGAGTCAAAGGCAGTGGTGCTCTACAGGATAGGAAAGCTAATTTAGGAGCCAGTGACTTAGTGTTTTCATGGATTCCCTTACAGATGTTCTGGAGGGACAGAGAATAATAATGGGTGAAAAACATTGGCATCATTAATGCTGAGTCAAAAAGTGATAAAGCCACTGAATGTGAAAACATTTTAGGAAAACTTGAACCAATTTATTTTGTTACATATATTTTTTATGGATGTTCAAGAATGATCTAATTTTTAAAAATCCAAACCTAATTTACTCTAAAAGAACTATTTCAATAAGTATAAAATTTAATAATCTAAGTGAATAATTGACATAATTTGATAATCTTTTTTCTTATAATCAGTGGTGTCTTAGATGAAAGGAAAATAATATTATGGATTTATACCCTTTTTTGTCACATGGGTTTCAAATATTTTTGTCCATCATTTTTGTCTTTTGTGTGGTATTTTTCATCATATGGAGGTTTTACATTTTTATGTCAGCAAACCCATATATCTTCCTATGTTATAGATTCTGAGCCTTGCCTGAGATATAAAATATTCCTTAGTATTTTCCAGCATTTTTTATAGTTTTATATTTAATATTTAAATTTTTTAACCCATCTGGATTTATTTTTATTTCCAATAATGCTTTTTTTTGGTTACTTCTCTTCTCATTTTAAATTTTATTTGCTTAACTTTTCCCTTTTCACTTTTTTTTCCCCCTTTTCACTTCTTGAGCATTAATTTTTCAAGGGCCTAACTTTAGAATGGCTTCATTTATTTTTTCTTTTTGTAACTTTTAGGTAGAGTTTATTACCTTTTATTTCTGAGAAATATAGATTGATGAATTATCTAACAAGTACAGCTTTTATAGCATGTCATAAATTTTTTTTTAATTTTTTAAATTTTTTATTTATTTTTGAGAGCGAGAGACCGAGTATGAGTGGGGAGGGGCAGACAGAGAGGGAGACAGAATCTGAAGCAGGCTCCAGGCTCTGAGCTGTCAGCACAGAGCCCAATGCGGGGCTCAAACCCACAAACTGTGAGATCATGACCTGAGCCTAAGTCTGACGATCAACCAACGAGCCACCCAGGTGCCCCAGCGTGTCATAAATTTTTAAATATTTTTACTGAGGTGTGATTTATATACCACATACAGCTATGATAAGTGTATAATTCAGTGATTTTTTTCATAACTTTGCAGAGTTGTGCAATCATTATCACAAGCCAGCTGTAGAACGTTTCCATCACTCCAGAAAGTTCCTTGTATTCATTTTGCAGTCAGCTCCCATTTTTACCCCCCGTCCCAAATGACCACCGGTGTGCTTTCTGTCTTTACAGATCTGCCTATTTTGGACATATCATATAAATGAAATTATACAATAAATAGTCTTTTGGACCTGATCTTTTTCACTTAATGTCTTTGAGGTTCATCCACATTGTAGTATGTATCAGTAGTTCAATCTGTTTGTTGTATTGCTGAATAGTATTCCATCAGATGGACATATGACGTTTTATTTAGATGTCCAACAGTTGAGGGGCGCCCGGGTGGCTCAGTCGGCTAAGCGTCCGACTTCAGCTCCGGTCACGATCTTCGCAGTTCGTGGGTTCGAGCCCCGCGTCGGAGCCTGGAGCCTGTTTCAGATTCTGTGTCTCCCTCTCTCTCTGACCCTCCCACGTTCATGCTCTATCTCTCTGTCTCAAAATAAATAAACGTTAAAAAAAAAATTTTTTTTTAAATTAGATGTCCAACAGTTGACTGGACGTTTGGCTTGTTTTCACTTTGTATCTGTTACGGATAATGCTGCTGTGTGCATCTGTGTACAAGTTTTTGTGTACACATATGTTTTTAATCTTTTTTTAACTTTTTAAATATTTATTTTTGAGAGAGAATGTGAGTGGGGGAGGGGCAGACAGAGGGAGGCAGAGGATTCAAAGTGGGTTCTGTGCTGAGAGTAGCAGTCCTGATGTGGGGCTCAGACCCACGAACCTGAGCCAAAGTCAGACGCTCAACCAACTGAGCCACCCAGGTACCCCATCAATCTCTTGATTATATACCTAGGAGTAGCATTGCTGGGTCAAAGGATAAGTATGTATTTAATATTTTGTAAAACTGCTAAACCCTTCCAAAGTGGCTGCACCATTTACATTCCCACCAACAGTTTAAGAGGGTTTCAGTTTTTCCACATCCTTGCCAACATCTGATATTGTTAGTCTTCTTGATTATAGCCATTCTAATAGGTATGAAGTAGTGTCTCCTTGTGGTTTCAGTTTGCATTTTTTTTTTAATTTTTAATGTTTATTTGTTTTTGAGAGAGGGAGAGACAGATAGAACACAAGCAGGAGAGGGGCAGAGAGAGAGGGAGACACAGAGTCCGAAGAGGCTCCAGGCTCTGAGCTGTCAGCACAGAGCCCAACACAGGGCTTGAACTCATGAACCACGAGACTGTGACCTGAGCCAAAATCGGACTCAACCTACTGAGCCACCCAGGTGCCCCTCAATTTACATTTTTAATGTTTATTTATTTATTTTGGGAAAGAAAGAGAGCAGGGGAGGGGCATAGAGAGAGGGAGTGAGAGAATCCCATGCTGGCTCCACACTGTCAGCGCAGAGCCCAATGTGGGGCTCGATATCACAAACTGTGAGATCCTGACCTAAGCCAAAATCAAGAGTCAGACACTTAACGGACTGAACCAACCACATGCCCCTCAATTTGCATTTTCCTAATGACAGTGATGTTGAGCATCTTTTAATGTGCTCGGTAGAGTTATTTGATTATCTTTTTTGGTGAAATGTTTATTCAAACATCTTTCTAATTCTTAAATTGGCTTGTCTTCTTACTGAGTTCAGCATGCCAAAATTTTTGGTTTGTTGTATTTCTCTGTTTGCTGAAAATCAGTCTGTTATGAACACTGAATTTTATCCCTATCCTATGTATAATTTAAGAGTATTTTCTTAGGGGCACCTGGGTGGCTCGGTTGTTTGAGCTTCCAACTTCAGCTCAGGTAATGATCTCACAGTTCATGAGTTCAAGCCCTGAACTGGACTCGCTGCTGTCAGCGCAGAGCCCTTTTTGGATCCTCTGTCCCCTTCTCTCTTTGCACCTCCCCTGCTCGCACTCACTCTCTCAAAAATAAATATTTAAGAAAAAAAACTTTTTAAAGTATTTTCTTAATATTTCCCTATGACCAGTCAATTTTCAATCCTGTTTTTGTTTTGTGTTTCTACATCCATTAACATTTTTGTATGAATTTTGTTTGTTCATACAGGCATATAGAGCAAAGTTCACCCTTTTTAGGTGTATAGTTCTATGACTTTTGACAAACTTATAGTAACCTCTATGACAACTGAGATAGAGTATTTCCATCATCCCAAAAAGTTCCTTCATGCTTCTTTGTAGGCAGTCTCTTCCCTCCACTCCAGCCTCTGGCAACTACTGATTTGAATTTTGTTCCCATGGTTTTGCCTATTTCAGAATGTCCTATAAATGGAATCATCCAGTACATAATTTTTTTGAGTCAAACTCGTTTCACTTAGCATAATGCTCTTGAGATGTGTCCTATGTTGTTTGTTATGTGTATCAGTAGTTTCTTTTTATTCCTGAGTAGAAATCCATTGTATGCACCTACCACCATCCTTGAACACCCTATGCAGAGTGTTTCATCCCTTTCTCGGGACTTAATAGTTTGAATCATTTTGGTCAACCAGGTAAAAATTTTTAAACATTTAGTAGAAAAAAATGACTTTTGGGGAGCCTGGGTGGCTCAGTCGGTTAAGCGTCCAACTTGGACTCAGGTCATGATTCACGGTTGGTGGGTTTGAGCCCTGCATTGGGCTCTGTGCTGACAGCTCAGAGCCTGGAGCCTGCTTCAGATCCTGTGTCTCCCTCTCTCTCTGCCCCTCCCCTGCTCATGCTCTGTCTCTCTCAAAAATAAATAAAAACATTAAAAAAAATTTTTTTTACTTATCAAATAAAAATACATGTAAAATATACCTGCCATAATACATCTTTCTCTTGTTGCTCAAAGTGATTTATAAAATTTCTTGCTTTTTTTCCTTTGGTAGGTATTGATTGGCAGGTTCGGCCTCCTTTATCAGGACTTCCTACTCTTGGTAAAGTGTCTCTCAACAGGGAGCTTCATTTTAACACTTCCATTGCTAACTTGGTCATCCTTCGTGGGAAAGATGTGCATAGTGCAGATCTGGGTAAGCAGAAGTTAAGGTGAAAATTAAGATGTACATTTTGCTCATATACATGGTACACATTTGTTTGTTTGTTTGTTTGTTTTTTAAAGGAAGTTCCTCCCCTGGGGTGCCTGAGTGGCTCAGTCAGTTAAGCATTGGACTTTGGCTTAGGTCATGATCTCTTGAGTTCGAGCCCAATGTTAGGCTCTGTGTGGACAGCTGGAGGCTGGAACCTTGCTTCAGATTCTGTGTCTCCCTCTCACTCTGCCCCTCCCCCTCTTGTACTCTCTCAAAAAAAATAAAAAATTTTAGGAAAAAAGGAAGTCCCTGAATCTATTTTTAAATTTTTGTTAATGTTTATTTTTGGCAGAGAGAGAGACAGAGCATGAGTGGGGGAGGGGCAGAGAGAGAGGGAGACACAGGATCCGAAGCAGGCTCCAGGCTCTGAGCTGTCATCACAGAGCCCGATGCGGGGCTCAAACTCACAGACCATGAGATCATGACCTGAGCTGAAGTTGGACGCTCAACCGACTGAGCCACCCAGCCTCCCCCCTGAATTTATTTTTAAAGAAAGGAAAATAATAACTGTGTTTTAGTAGCAAAGTGTAAGCATTGTATCAGTAATATGACCAAAAAATAGAAGTGGTTGAAACAAGATATAGATTAAATTCTTTCTGTCCTCACCTTATGGCTTTCTCCTCTTGGTTTTTTTTTTTTTTTTTTAATGTTTATTTTTGAGAGGGAGAGACACAGGGTGCAAGCAGGAGAAGGGCAGAGAGAGGGAGACAGAATCTGAAGCGGGCTCCAGGCTCTGAGCTGTCAGCACAGAGCCTGACAAGTGGCCCGAATTCATAAACCGTGAGATCATGACAGAGATAAAGTAGGACACTCAGCCAACTGAGCCACCCGGGTGTCCCATGGCTTCCTCCTCATAGTCCAAGACATCTGTTTGAGCTTCAGCCATCAAATCACATAGGAATGAGCAAAGGAGGGTATGCTGCCTTTTCCTAGGGTCGCACACCACACTCATGTTTGAATAGCTTTGATTGGGACTGAATCTTGTGCTACAGCTAGCTGCAAGGGTGTCATGAGCACAGTTAAAATTGGGGAGCTCTGTTACTAAAGAAGGGGAGAACAGGTAATGTAGCACAACTAGGATCTCTGTGACAAGCATTTTGTTACAAAATTTTCAGGAGGTTCAAAGAGCAGTACTCTTATTAGTTTGTTTCTATGGCGAATCTCCAGGTTTGTATTATCCTTCTTTGATGATTTTAGCAGTATCAAATTGGCTGCTTCTAGCTATGATAGAAAGAAGACCAAATAATCTAGTCCCTGTAATGCACCTTAGATAAAAAAGTGAAAACTAAAGAGAGATCATTTCAGGTCCATCAGATGGTATACTTTCTCCTACCTCAGAACATTTTCTTCATAGTCTTCATTTTAGATTCTAAATCAAGAGAATTAATAAGAGGATATATAAAGTAATCAAACTTCCAAAAATTTACCCACAACAAATGACATAGGTACAGAGAGGTGTTCTTGCAAAGATATTCACTGTAGTATCTTTCACACAAAAATGTGGAAACAACCTAAATGCCCAACAGTAGGAAATGTGTTAAATAAATTATGGTATATTCACATACTAAGGCTTTAAATATGAGTGATATTTATTGACATGAAAAAGAGGTTCACACCATACTGGTGAATGAAAACAGATTACAGAACAGCGTGTGTGTAAAATTATATACACAAGAAGGTCAACAAAATGTTCACAATCTTCTCTGGATGGTGACATTTCACCTGTTCAGTTGACTTAAATTTTCTTCTTAGTACTTCTGGCGTGTAATTCTGAGTGGTGTGAATTACTACTATTTTTTTTACAATGACTATGGGTCATTTATCTAAAAGCACTATAAACTAGTTTTAAATAGGTAAAACAAAAGATTTCTGGTTAAATATTAAAATAAGAAAAATCTGTTTATTAATTTGTTTCCAAAATTAATGATTTATGGTATGAACAATGGCTTAATGTTGTTTTACTCTAGGAGGATTTAAAGATCCAGCACTCTATACTTCTTGGTTAGCACCTGTTAATGCTTTCAATGTATGGAAAACCCAGCGAGCATTTAGCAAATATGAGAAGTCTGCAGCATTGGTCAGCAATAGCCAGTTCTTACTAAAACCACTTGATACGATTGTGGGCAAAGCATGGAATATGTTTGCTTCAAAGTAAGTAAAAAATAAATCTACAAACCTTTCTTTGTATTATTTATTTATTTATTTACTTACTTATTTACTTATTTATTATTTATAGAGAGTGTATGTGAGCAGGGGAGGGGCAGGAGAGAGAGAGAGAGAAAGAGAAAGAGAGAATCCCAAGCAGGCTCCGTACCCTCAGCACAAATCCTGATGGGGGGCTTAATCTCACAGACTGAAAGATCATGACCTGAACCTGCTTATCCGACTGAGCCACCCAGGTGCCCAGAAATCTACAAGTCTTTCTACCCTTAGGAATATAAATCTTAAAACAGAAAGCAGGATCTGGAATGTCTTAGTCTGTTTGATTTGCTCTAACAAAAATAGCACAGACTGCATATCTTATAAACAACAGAAATTTATTTCTCGCAGTTCTAGAGGCTAGGAAGTCCAAATTAAATGGTGCTGGCAGATTTGATGTCTACTGAGGAGCTACTTCCTGGTTCATAGGTGATGTCTTTCCCTGTGTCCTCAAATGGCCAAAGAGGCAAAGATCTTTCATGGGCCTCTTTTAAAAGGGCACTGATTCCATTCATGAGGGCTCCACCTTCATGACCTATCACCTTCCAAAGGTCTCACCTCCTAATACTATCACCTTGGGGGTAAGATTTTAATGTATGAATTTTGGGGGAACGCAAACATTCAACCTACAACATGGAGTAAGCATGGCTTACTTTGTAGGTGTGAAATTCAGTCATGTTACTTCAGGCATCATTTTCTTTTCTGCACAATGGGTCCAAAATAAGAGGATATGTAGCGAGGATTAAGTGAGATAATCATGTAAGAATACCTACCACATTGCTGTTAACTCTTGTTGATAAAAGGAGTAGTTTCCAAATAAAATGAAATTAAAGTAGAAATTTCATTATAAGGCTGGGACAATAAAATAGTATTCCAAAATAAGATCCTTGGAAGAATGGAAGATATCCTGATCTTGTTCAGCAAGAAATATTGCAAGTTTAACTCCATTTGCCACTACAAAATGTCTGCTTGATCCTAAGAAATGAGTTATCAGGTCTCCTGACCTCTGCCACAATTACTTGTCAAAGCAGAATTCCTCATATTAATTGGCAAGGCCTCTACTTTGATTATCCAGGATTCCCAAGGGCTCCCCCTTTCCACACGTGGCTATTCCACAAGCCCCGTCCAAAAGGACAGCAGTGAACTCTGTCCTTTTCTGATATTGTTCACTTCCCACTCCCCTTAAATGGCAGCAGCTCTTATTACATCAATTTAATCCATGTCTGCCCCTGACATTCTTTTTAATATTTGTCCTACCTCAGAACATTTGGAGGGTACGGGGTATTAAAAGAACCACCTGGTATAACTGCAAAGTAAATGTCTGAAAAATACTTGGGAGACTTCACTTCATTCCTAGCACTAAATTAATGCATTTCAAGCCTTAGGTAAAAATTCTCGGGCACCTTTTAGAGTTTGTATTGAACCCAGTCATCTCTGTAGGGTGTTCAATATGTGCTTGGTTAGATAACCAAATCTGAATAAGCTTCTTTTTCCTATGTGCTTCTTACTGTCACTCTCTTGGATACTAAAAAGGCGGGGAGCTTGACATAAACTTTCAAAGTTTACTAATCTTTGGAATAAACGTTGAAACAAATATAAGACATTTAAGAGATTCTTCCATCTTCAATTATTCATGAACTAGGACAGTTCTATTTATGGTTTGATTTTAGGAGTTACTAATTTCTCTGAGATTTTTTTTATTTTACATTTTCTGTTTCTTTCATCAGAGCCTACATTCATCAGTACACAAAATTTGGAATTGAAGAAGAGGACTTTCTGGACAGTTTCACATTGTTGGAACAAGTTGTTGCCAGTTACTGCAATCTCTGATCGCCAACAGAGGAGAAAAAGTACCCTAGATCATTTTGGGGCTAAACAATTTTCAATATTACTTTTTCTGTAAGGTGTTCAGATCCCTACCTGTTAAAGTAACAAAGGTGAATGCTGTTTCCTTTGGCATACCATAACCACAGAAAAGGAGGAAAACTTTTTAATTTTTTTTAACGTTTATTTATTATTGAGAGATACAGACAGAGTATGAGCATGGGAGGGGCAGAGAGAGAGGGAGACACAGAATCCGAAGCAGGTTCCAGGCTCTGAGCTGTCAGCACAGAGCCCAATGTAGGGCTCGAACTCACAAACCGCAAGATCACAACCTAAGCCGAAGTCAGATGCTTAACTGGCTGAGCCACCCAGGCGCCCCAGGAGGAAAACCTTTATTTCATTTTATTTTATTTTAATTTTTTTTTTAATTTACATCCAAATTAGCATATAGTGCAACAATGATTTCAGGAATAGATTCCTTAGTGCCCCTTGCCTATTTAGCCCATTCCCCCTTCCACAATCCCTCCAGTAACCCTCAGTTTGTTCTCCATATTTATGAGTCTCTTATGTTTTGTACCCCTCCCTGTTTTTATATTATTTTTGTTTCCCTTCCTTTATGTTCATCTGTTTTGTCTCTTAAAGTCCTCATATGAGTGAAGTCATAGGATTTTTGTCTTTCTCTGACTGACTAATTTCACTTAGCATAATACCCTCCAATTCCATCCACATAGTTGCAAATGGCAAGATTTCATTCTTTTTCATTGCTGAGTAATACTTCATTGTATAGATATACCACATCTTTATCCATTCATCCATCGATGGACATTTAGGCTGGTTCCATACTTTGGCTATTGTTGATAGTGCTGCTATAAACACGGGGGTGCTTGTGTCCCGTCGAAACACCACACCTGTATCCCATTGATAAATGCCTAGTAGTGCAATTGCTGGGTCGTAGGGTAGTCCTATTTTTAGTTTTTTGAGGAACCTCCATACTGTTTACAAGAGTGGCTGCACCAGCTTGCATTCCCAAGGAAAACCTTTATACTATATGTTACCTTAGATTATAATAAAAGATAAAAAAGAAAAGGAGGAAAACCTTTTTTTTTTTTAAGTTTATTTTATTTATTTTGAGAGAGAGTGTTGTGTGTGAGCAAGGGGGGTGGGGGCAGAGAGAGAGGGGGAAGGAGAGAAAATTCCAAGCAGGCTCAACTTTGTCAGCACAGAGCCCATACAGGGCTTGAACTCACAAACTGTGAAAGCATAACCTGAGCCAAAACCAAGAGTTGGACCTTAACCGACTGAGCCACCCAGGTACTCCTGGAGGGAAACCTCTTAAATGGGAATAGCATGTTTTTGAGGTGCCTGGCTGGCTCAGTCAGAAGAGCCTGTGACTCTTAATCTGGGGGTTATGAGCCCGAGTCCCATGCTGGATGTAGAGATTACTTAAATAAACAAACAAACTTAAAAAAAATTTTTTTTAATGAAAATAAATGAAAAATAGTATCTTTTCAATGAAAACACTTGGTATTTTTATTTGTAAGAAAAATAATGGTGCTTCAATAAAGAAATTTGGAAACACTTTGCTGAGATGTTGGAACTATGGAACTATACAAGAAAGGGGAATATTTTTCTAAATCTTCCCTTTATTCCAGAAAGGATTCACTAAATATGGGCTAAACTTTCACTACACACATTTGAACTTAAGAAATTGGCAGTTCTGTATTTGTGTTCCCCTCTGAAGTGAATGCTTTGAACCATAAGAGGGAGCTATTGTCAAATGCTAGAGCATGAACATCTATTTTGAATATTCTATAACAGGGTAAGATTTTCCACATCAAGCAGCTATTTAAAAATAAATATCAGGGGGCGCCTGGGTGGCGCAGTCGGTTAAGCGTCCGACTTCAGCCAGGTCACGATCTTGCGGTCCATGAGTTCGAGCCCCGCG